CTGGTCTTCATCCACCTCTTCAATGCGTGGTCAGGCTCAGCCCCTCTGGGAGGCAGAAGCGATGTCCACAGCGCGGGCGGCCCCTGCAGCGACCCGTGCCGGTGAGCAAGACGAGCGTTGGCTCTCCCATGCTTCCCTAGCTCCCTCCACATCCCAGCCCATGCGGGAGACAAGCCCTGGCAGGGCTCTGCACCATGTACCATGTGCTATGGTTCGGGGACAGGGCTTCAACCACTTGCTTTGAGCTGTTGTTTGCGTTAAGCCATTGCTTGCATTGAGCTATGATTGCATCAAGCCATTGCTTGCAACGAGCTATCATTGCATCAAGCTGCCGTTGCACTGAGCTGCCATCGCGTCAAGCTGCTGTTGCCCTGAGCTATCGTTGCACTGAGCTATCGTTGCATCGAGCCATTGTGCATTGAGCTGCTGTCCACACTTTTCTTGCTAGGATCGTGCTCGTCGAGAGCATTCCCGAGGGGATGACATATAGCGGTAACAGCCCCATGAACCCATCCACCTTCGACACATGGATGAGCCTCATCGGGGGCGCGAAGCACAGCCTGGATATCGCAGCCTTCTACTGGACCATGACCAACAAGGACACGCGCACACATGAGCCTTCTGCTGCCCAGGTACAGACCGGCGCTGCCTTACAGCGTCCTCTTGGCCAGAGCTGGCCCCAGGTCAGGGCTCAGCCAGCTGAGCTCACGCCAGCGGCACAGCGATTTGCATGGCGCCAGCCAGCCCTGCGCCAGCCCAGCCTGTGCAGCCTCCTCTGATATAATGGATATATCATATGCAAATGCCTGTGAACAAGGCATGAGGCTTGCACCCAGCCCTGGCTCTTCATGCATGCCCATCTTGAGCAGCAGGCTCTGTTTTCGAACATCCCTTGGGGTTTTTAACCACTTCCTCTTTTTTTTTGCTTTCCAACCAGGGTGAGCAGATCCTTGAAGAACTGCTGAAGTTACCCCAGAGCGGTGTCTCCGTGCGAGTCGCGGTCAACACACCTTCCTCCAAGTCACCCCTGCACGATCTCCAGGCGCTGGAGCAGAGTGGTGAGCAATAGGGGGGCCAGCACGATGCTGGTGCAGGAGGGGACCCGGGGGCACCTTCAAAGCCAGTTTACCTAGCACCAGGCAGGCAAAAGGGGATGTGGACAGCGAGGGAGATCTCTGTTCTCTTGCCCCCCAGGAGCTGCGGTGCGGGCTGTCGACATGCCCCGGCTCACCAGTGGTGTGCTGCACACCAAGTTGTGGGTCGTCGACAGCACTCATCTCTACCTCGGCAGCGCCAACATGGACTGGCGGTCCCTAACCCAGGTGAGCACCGATTTAACGTTCTAAACCCTGGTTCAAGGAGGATGCTACAGGGCCAGACCACAGCCACGAAACACATCCAGGCGGTGGAGAACAGCCCCCCCTCTCCAGAGCACCTTTGCCCCTTCCCCATCCTTTGGGATCCTCCTTTGGCAGCGCAGACCCACAGTTGTGATTGCTGCCGGATCCCACTGTGAGGGCAAACGCTCCCAATAGCAGAGACAGGGTCGGTCGCATAAACCTGCATCGTCCATTGCCGTGACAGAGCTGCGGTCCCGTCACCACAGGTCAAGGAGCTGGGCACGGCCGTCTACAACTGTAGCTGCCTGGCCCGGGACCTGAGCAAGGTGTTTGAAGCCTACTGGGCTCTAGGCCTTCCCGATGCCTCCATCCCAGTGCCGTGGCCAGCCAACTACTCCACCGCCTTCAACATGGAGACGCCGCTGGAGCTGAGGCTCAACGAGACAGGAGCCAGCGTCTACTTCTCGGTAAGCCCCGGCGCACTGGCTCCCCGCGCGGCTCCCTGCCTCCCGTGGCGGTGTTGCGGAGGATTCGGGTGCCAGAGCCAGAGCCCTGGCTGGGTGCGTAACCCTCCACACCATCCTGCAGAGCTCTCCGCTAGCCCTCTGCGCCCCGGGGCGGACCGAGGACCTCCGCGCCCTCCTCAGCATCATCGACGCCGCCGAGGAGTTCGTGCACATCGCAGTGATGAGCTACCTGCCCACCATGGAGTTCTCGCACCCCCAGAGGTACGGCCATGCTCGGCACGGCCCCAGCACCCCCCCGGCCCAGGCTGCCTCCTTGGCACGCCGCGCTGCCTGCCCGAACCTGACAGTGGCTCTGGCCCTAACGCTAACCTGGACCCTGGCCCTAACCCTGAACATGGCCCTAACTCTAACCTAACCCTGACCGTAACCGTGGACCTGACCCTACCCTAATCCTGACAGCAATGCTGCCCCTAACCCCAACCCTCTGCCTGCAGCAGCTGCCGAGGCCGAGCGTGGCCCCTGCAAGTCAGTGCTCCTGGGAGCCCTGCAGCAACCCTGCTCTTCCAAACCCAACAGGCAAAATTGCTGTTTTAGCAGCTATATGATCCCCTCCAACCAGCTGCTTTCCAACACCCTGGAGGTAATGGTGGCCCTAGTGGGTGAGGCAGCACGGTTTCTCTCCCCAGGTTTTGGCCAGTGATCGATAACCACCTCCGGAAAGCGGTCTATGAGCGCAAAGTGCAGGTCCGGCTGCTGGTGGGCTGCTGGCGGCACAGCAAGGCGGCGATGTTCCCCTTCCTGAGGTCCCTGGCCGCCATCGCCGACAACAAGACACACTACAGCATGGAGGTGGTGGGTACCGCGCCGCGGGCACCAACGAGGCTGGGTTGGCATGGCACAGCTGCCTTGTCCAGTGCTCCCCTGAGCCAGTGGCCTCCGCAGCGGGGCAGGAGCCAGCCTGGCCCCTCTGCTCGCCCTGGGCAGGTCGTTCCCCCAGCTGATGGTCTCCTTCTGTCCTGCAGAGGCTCTTCATGGTGCCGGCGACCGCGGCCCAGGCCAAGATCCCCTACTCCCGGGTGAACCACAACAAGTACATGGTCACGGAGAAGGTGGCCTACATCGGTGAGTATGGCACCAGCATGTAGCACCCAGCACCCAGCATGCGGTACCCAGCGTGCAGTATGTGTGCATCAGAGATCCCCACTGGTACCGTGTTGCTGCCTGAACCTCTGCGTCTCGTCCCCCTAAATAAACCCGCTCCTGGTGACGGTGGCTCTTCTCCCCCTGCTCTCTCCGCAGGGACTTCCAACTGGTCAGGGGACTACTTCGTCAAGACGGCAGGGTCAGCCCTCATCGTGAACGAGACAGGGGACCGTGCTGGCGGGACGGCCACTGCCCGGGGGCAGCTGCAGGCGGTGTTTGAGAGGGACTGGAGCTCCCAGTACAGCACGGACATCAACGATGTGGAGCAGTGGGAGCACATGTGCAGCTTCCACTAAGCGCTGGTGCCCTGCCAGGGGAGCCGGTGTTGTGGCCTGGCCCCGCACGGCTCGGACTCCCCATCTCGTCCTCGATCTCCACCAGCGCCACAGAGGCAGTGAGTCCTGGTGGTGTCGGGGATGCAGGACACTCTGCGTCCCTTCCCACCGCTGAGCTGGGCGTGAGCTGCTTTTTCTCCATCAAATACATCGTTCCCTCTGCTCTGAGACAAACTTTAATTCTCCACATGCACCTCAAGGGAGGTGGCTGGGTGCCAGCTGCTAGCGTGGGTCCACACGTTATATTCGTTCCGAGAGCGCTAGTTCTGCAGGGGAGCATTTAAGAGCAGTATGTGGATGCATAGACTCACAAGGAACCACCGGGGTGATGCTTAAGCCCCGACGGGGCAGAGACATGGCACGCCACTTCGCAACAGGGTGCCAGTGGCGGAGGTGCCAGTCACAGCTCCGCAGGGTCTGTCTGCCCCATTTTGTGCAAGAAAGCACCACGGGTTACTGTCCAATTTAGAGCACTTTCTTTGTGGGTACAGAACAATTTTTTCTAGACGTTTGCACAAGTAGCTGTTAGTTCGTGAGTTAAAAGTAAATGGTGGGTCCGGAAAGCTGCGCAGCATCTGGGTGCGCCATGCCACCCCACGCCGGGTGCGTGCACCGACCACATGCAGTGGGCTTGTCCCGCCGGCGAGCACCCGTGCCCTGCACTGAACGCTGTCCCGAGCTGCTCTGCAGCACCAGGAATGGACCCAAGGGCCCCCACTGCCCCATCCAGCCCTCCCTCGGGGTGCAGTGCCACCCCCTGGCACTGCAGGACGTGCCACGGTCCCGGTTCCCACCTGGCAAGGAGGCACACGACATGCTGGGCCATTGGGAAATGGTTTATTGGGGGGCACTGGAAAAAGCCAGTGCCCGGAGCAGCTGGCACACCTTATCCATGCGCCCGTGGCTGCACTATCCCCTGCCAACGCGGAGCGGGCCTGCCTGCCTGGGTGACCCCCCAGACCCCGAGCAGCAGGGGTTGCATGTGGGCGAGGAAGAGGAAGGTCTTTCAAGCACAGAGGCTGGTGCAGGCTCTAATCACTTGGCTCCCGGGGCGCTTGCCGGAGGGGTCCCTGTGGCGGCTCAGTGGTGGCCGGCCACATGCTGCAGGTAGCGTGGGTGCCGGCTCTGCGCATGGTGGAGCCCGCCGTGCCCGGCGGGGGGCTCCCAGACCTGCTCCCGCAGCCAGGCCTCGGCG